AAAAAGGCGCCACTGCATAATAGTCCAGCAGATGTAAACAAGTCATAAAACTTCAGGTTGGGTTGCCTATTTTTGCTTCCTTGTATTAAAGTGACAAAGAAGTCATTCAACAACAGTGTATCTGATTCTGGAGTTCCTGTCTGTAAAACATACTATTTCCTTCTGGCAGTTCACAGTAAACATAGGAAATTGTTTGAATTGTCAAATAAAGTCTCCCAAGAATAAAAGGTGCTAGTAGCAACCATGGTTCCTTCATGTTAAAAAAATACCAACAATAAATCTAGACTTAACAAGACTGGATTACAATGAAATCTCTCTATGATCTTTCTTGTCACTGAAACTGACTTTGAAGGCTTTTCTTTTTCCCAGAAAATTACTCTGAAGGGACTTGCCTTTCTAAAGCGAATTAACAAAGCAAATCAGACAGGCTTTATCATGCAACACCTGGAAATTCTTGAGGTAAAAGCATACATGTTGTAATGAAGTAAATGCTCTGTTGGTGTTGTCTGCATTTAACCTTTGCTTTCTCAGAATAAACATTAAAGTATGTCATGCCTAAGCACAAAAAAATAAATAAACATATTGCCCACATAAGACTTCCCTGAAATCCTGGTAGCCCTGAAGAATCCTCCTGTTGGCTGAAGAAATACAGTTGCAAGAAAAAGATGTGAACCTCTTGGGATTACGTGGAGTTTTGCATGAATTGGGCATAAAATGTGCTCTGAACTTCATCGAAGTCACAACAATAGAAAAACACAGTCTGCTGAAAATAATACTACACAAACATTAGATGTTGCCATGGTTTAATTGAACATAACATGTAAACATTCACAGTGCAGGGNACTTTTTGTGCAGTAACTGCTTAAATATTAATGACTTGGAATACCTGACAACATATAAAATTTACCTCCCTGATGATACAAGATTGCATGTAAAAAATTAACAACAGACAATAAAAAGGGTACATCGCCATATTTTTTATGCTTTCTTTGCCACTTGACATCAGTACTCTTTTTTTTTCAGCTTCAAAGGAAAGTTTATCTTGGTCAATAAAACTCAACTATAAAAAAGAGCAGCTGCAAGGAAGGTGCAATGAAAAATATTTAATGATAGTGGTTTTTCTGCTTTGATCTCTAGATATTATAACATTCATTCATAATATCAGCCTTTATAAATCAGCTATGAAGAAGTGCAGGTCCAATACTTTTGCCAAGTCAAATAACAAAAATACATGATTAACAATATTCTTATTTCAAAAGGCCAAGGAAGTTAACTGAAAATTATGGGGGAAATGTCCACAGAAGATGCAGTCAGATATCCTAAGATACTGAGCAGTCTTCTTATATAATTGGTTATTTTTGCATGTCACTTTTAAAAATTGTTTTGCCTGTAAGATGATTTCCTACCAACAGGACAATGAAGGAAATTAATTATTGTGATTTGATTTTTCCATACTTTTAGTTGTTATTTTTTTCAAAAGCAGTCATAGTCCTGGCTCTAACCCATTTTTTAGACTGGGCTCCTTCAATGTCCAAGTGTAGCTCTTGGTCCCCCAAACTGCAGACCCCAAACTAAGCTGTAATAGTAACTTTATACAATAAAGTTGAACTTCTCTGCTTTATTCCATGCCCCCACACATTAAGTTTCCTATGAGAACCATTCCTTACTATCGTGGGAAAAATAATCCATATGAACAGACACACACCATAAAATGCTGCTGCTTTCCTAAGCTACTGCCAAAAAATAGAAAGCAAAATTTCATGAGACAGGAAAATTCAGGAAAAGAGAATGAGAGCCTAACCATATGGAGCCAAGAAGGAATTTAAATAATCATATAATACAAATAAAATTACAATTTCAAGGAAAAACTCTACTATTTATGTGCATTCCATCCTATGTCCACTTTATATAAGTCTCTATACGCTTTGCAATCATACTTCATGCAACTCTACGATGTAGAGCAAAGCAATAATTTCAGAGTGTCTGAAAAGGTTCAGATACCTTCAGGAAATTCAGAAAAAGGTAATATAAAGTGTCTAGGGTCATGTCATGATAAATAGCAATAGCACTTAGACTTATATACCACTTCATAGTGCCCTCTCTAAGCAGTTTACAGAATCAGCATATTGCCCCCAACAATCTGGCTCCCATTTTACTCACCTCAGAAGGATAGAAAGCTGAATCAACCTTGACTAGGGATCAGTCAGGATCAAACTCCAGGATGTGGGCAGAGTTAGCCTGCAATAATCACTTAGCAATGGCCTTCCAGAGGTTTCTGCAATACAGGTCCCAATATCCCACCTAATTGGCCATGCTGGCTTGGGGTACTAGGGATTATTCTTCAGTAAAAATGGAAGCTGAAATTCCCCTTATCCTTGACTTATCAAAAGGTGGAACAACTGAAATGACTCATAAATCTTTGATGTATGCTATACTTACTTTTCTTAAAAGTAAGCTTATAGTTTTATTGTCACTTTCATATAAAACACATGCATTTAAAATGAGATATTCGCTTATTAAGTCATAGTTCATGCATATTTATTAAAAATTTAATAAAAATGTAAAAATAACAATAGTAAAGGAGTAAAACAATGAAAATTAACAGTAGAAGTACAATAATGTGAAATTAAAAAGATGAGTGGAGGGGGCACAGGAAGTGCAGAGTCAAGTAGTTAGTCTAACCTTCATGATCAAGTCCTTTCCTGCTTTGTTTGAGAATGATCATGAACAATCTCTGGGATTTTTTATAAGCTCAATTATTGAAATAAAGTCTGTGTCCCATTTTTGATATCTTGATTATGGAAATAATCTTGATTTTTAACAGTTAATCAAAGTCTTCCTCTTTTTATCAATTTGGATATTGCTTTTTTGTGAATATGTGTTCACTGATGCTACATTATGCAAAAAGGCAAAACTCACTTGTAACAGCGTTCCATGAACTGCATTCTGTCGTATACAAGAATCAGTGCTATCTGGAAGGCCAGCTAACAAAGAAGATACTGTCTGTGGCACCAAATTTAGCATAACAAAGGGAACAAGGGCTCGTCCAGCCAGTTCACGTGAACGGTACACAGGAGAGTTACCACATCTAGAAGTCAGGAGACAGAAAGGCAGAATTTTTCAGATCTCATGCACATGCAGGGTATGTCAAGAACAGTATTTATAATGAAATATTCAAGAAAATATTTGTGCAATCCTTATAAATGTATACATTCCATCCTAAAATGATTTGTGAAAGGCATAAATGATTTATATACATAGCACTTATCGTCTTTGATAAACCTTATCAGATATGGGGATTATAATAATAGCTTTGTTTTGAACTGACTGAAGCTTTTTGTTGATTTCAGTTTCCATACTTCTAGCATGCCACAAGATGGCATTACATGAATTGTATTTTAATTGTGCATTTTATTTATGTGAATTATATTCACCTGAAACCTATGCTTTTCACCACAGAAATATACTGGTGATTAATATATAAAGAATCCCATTCAAGATGTCAACTTAAGAAAAATGTTTATATCACAAATCCCACCTAGCAAAAAATAAATGATACCATGATAAAGACAAGTTCTAAAAAGGCATGACAGCTGACCTAAGTTCAGCTGGGCAGATCAGACCAGTTAGAGGTAGGGAGAGACAGAACTCCCTTTTAAGTGGTATTTTTATTGTAGAAGTAATATAAGATAAAGATGTCCTTACAGCCAAAATAATTTTGTTTCCTGTGAAATGGATACAGAACAAGAATCCCCGTAGCCAGTACCTGCTGTTGAGTTCCTACCAATTTCCTGTGTTGGACTGCATAGAACAAAAAATAACTATTATCATTCTACATGAAGCCTATCTTTTGCCATATAACAATTTATTTATAATACAGATAGTCCTCAACTTACAACAGTTTGTTTACTAACCACTTGAAGTTACAACAGCACTGAAAAAAAGTGACTTATGACCATTTTTCACACTGCAACATTTCTATGATCATGTGATTTACATTTGGATGCTTGAATGGTTCATATTTATGATGGTTACAATGTCCTGGGATCATGTGTCCAATTTTTGTGACCTTCTGACAAGCAAAGTCAATGGAGAAGCCATATTCACTTAATAACTGTGTTACTAATTTAACAACTGAAGTGATTCACTTAAGAAAGTTGACAAGAAGTCGTAAAATGGGGCAATGTTTGAATGTTTGAATGTTTATTTTATTTATATGCTGCCCTTTTCCCCCGAAGGGGACTCAGGGCGGCTCACAACTCAAACCAGGGAAGGGGGATACAAACAAAAAATTAAAACAACACAAAACAATAGATAATTTAAAACACACAACAGTCATACCATTCGAGACGGGGGCAACANGTGATAGCCTGTGCACACAATTATAGCACGCCATAAGAAAAAGGTTTGCCATCACTGTTCTAGGTTGAGAATGTCTTTGTTTTGAAATAGAAGAATTCATTTCGGAGACCACAAGTTATAGTATATTCTATACAAAACTACTTAGATAATAGTCATCTATTCCCTGAATAGGTGAATAGTACATGGTCCAATGTGGAAGAGTAGAAAGAAGAAAACAGTGGGATATACCTAGTATCCCAGTTATTTATGAAGTTTTTTAATGTAATTTTTCATGAACTGTGAAATGAAGTTAAAACTGACAGCTGTGGACATAGAGTATGGGGTACTACAGGAAAAATAGTACCCTTTAAATAAGTGAAGTGAGTAATTATATGCAAAATGCGGATATTTTTCTAACACAACAACTTAAGCATATTTATCTCTTCATCCCTGCTTTATAATAATTTGAGCCTTGGGATGCTTTATCTCTATTAAACCTTAGCTTTCTTCACATTAGAAGGAGACTGCTGGTATTTTTAAGCTTGACAAGGCAAAGCATCATAAAATCTATTCCTTCATTCTCAGTTCAGTCTTAAAGATTGTCATTTCTGTTTTTGTTTTTTTACTGGCAGGAAAGTGATGCATTACCTCAACCTTACCTTTAATTTTTGCCTTCCCCACATAATTATTCAACAGAACAAGGACATCAAGATACGCTGCTCTGGTCACTAGACAAGGATTTTGCCTAGAAACAAAAGTCAATAGCAAAATTTAAATGACTTACACTTTAACATTTTATTTTTCTTCTATTTGCTTTCTTCTGTGCTGTCTGGCCACATAACTTAATGCTTAAAGAAGTATATGTGAGTTAGGAAAAGATTACTTTTAAATGCTACTATGTTTTTGGTTTTATCTTTGTTACAAAATTAAGAAACATATGTCTAAACACCTAAGATAAACAAAAACCTCTGCTTAAAGCACAGTTCCCTCCAATAACCCTTATGCAACATTCCTTTGTTCTTATTTATCATTATCATGCAAGATTATCCTGTAAGTGGAGCAAAGTATCAGACATACATATATGTCAGGACTAGATCACAGTTGTACGCAGAGGATCCAGTTTTGATGTTCTTGTGGAGCTGTGTGACTAATTTGAAGGCATCAAGTATTTGGTTCAGTATGGCTTCACTGAACCAAGTCAATGGGGAAGCCAGATTACCTTAACAAATGTATTACTAACTTAATAACTGCAGTGATTCACTTAACATTCCTGGCAAGAAAAGTCGTACAATGGAGGAAAACCTCATTTAACAACTGTGTTGCTTAGCAACAGAAATTATGGGCTCAATTGTGGTTGTAAGTCAACCACAATTTTCTTACTTCATAGATTTATAATCAAAGACAACCACCACCAGCCCCCAATATAATGCAAATAAATTAAATATAATAAAAAGATATGGATAAATTGCTCTAATACAATTGAATTATCCTTTAAAGTCCAAAACTTTCTAATCACAACAGGAATGGAGCAGAATTATGAAGAAAATTGGAATTAAAATGAATTTCTGGCCATCCAGTGCAGTCAGTAAGAAATAGGGCTATACATTAGTTATCATAAAGACAGCAATGAAGTAAAATGTGAGCAACTGACTCAACAATTGACCAAGCAAACACACAATCACTCCAAATATAGAATACATTGTTGTTAAGAACCAAGGCGGTGCAGTGGTTAGAGAACAGTACTGCAGGCTACTTCTGCTGCCTGCCTGCTGTCTGCAACTTGGCAGTTCAAATCTCACCAGGCTCAAGGCTGACTTAGCCTTCCATCCTTCTGAAGTGGGTAAAATAAGGACCCAAATTGTTGTGGGCAATATGCTGACTCTGTAAACCACTTTGATACAGGGCTGTAAAGCACTGTAAAGCAGTATATAAGTCTAAGTGCTATTGCTATTAAATCTTCCCCGTTACGGTAATGATATTTTCATACTGATGAAAATATGAACCTTTTTGAACTATATCATTTATAAAGCCACACTGCCTCAATCTGATTGTCCTAAATTTTTATATGTATTTGAATATTACTTTGAATTTCTTGCTTTTAATGAAAAGTGACAGGACAAGTTTACAAATAAGGTTTAATTATTTATGGAAATTGATTGTAAGAATGTAAATTTTTGTAATGATTTTTGAAAAAGTATCAGCTTGTTCATTTTTATTGTTTTAAGTATATAAGGAAATGTTGATTTAGTTCTTGGAAATATATAGAGTCTGACTAATGTTTATGTACTGATTTTAAATTTATGAAGCAAATTTTCTTTTGGAAGGATTTAGGCTTCAAATACCTTGGGATTAAAGACATATATATTTTGTCTACACAGCTGGTATTACTGCTAGTTTTATTCCTCAGAGAAAGTGATCTCTGTTATTGATAAAAATAGACACTTTTTTAAAAAGACCTCTTTCCAGAGAAAGATATATTTGGACTAAAAATAGATGCCAGATTTGAAAAAGATTGAAATGTGCTGCTCTAATTTACTGTATTGAGCTAAAGTATCACAGATTTATATTCTAAGTGATGGTTTTACTCTTATTAAAATAAAAAACCAATCTCAACCCCAGTGTAATTCCACATAACTCGCAATATAGATTGACTCATTTATCAGAATTTTTAATTATCTCACCAAGAGGTTACAGGTTTCCTGGTACGAGATCCAGTAGAGGCAACCACTAAGATGATTTATTTATTTTTTATTTATTCATCATACTTAAAAACCACTCATCTTTCTAATGGAAGGACTCTAGGCAGTGTACAAGTACAATATTAAAACATAAAATTTTTATATAAAATTTACATAAGAGGTAAAGATCATTATAATTCAACATTCAAAGTTAATTAAAAGGCCGGTTAAGGCCTTCAGGTTATACTAATCTGTGAGTCCCTAATAATATGCCAGAACCAGGACATTTCTGAAAGGTCAGAATGGTAGGGGTCTACAACCCCTCATGGGGAGGGATGTTCCAAAAGGCAAGAGTAACAGCAGAGAAGGCTCTCTTCCTAGACCCCACTAGTTGGAATTTAACTGATGGGTTCTGTATCACATCCTTCCTGCCTGACTGGGTAGTACGGACTGATATTATGGGGTGAAGCTAGTTCCATAGGTAACCATGCCGTGTAGGGCTTTAAAGATCATAAACAGTATCTTGAGTTAGACCTGGGAGCAAACAGGCACCCAATGCAGTTCACGTAGCAGAGGTATTACACACATCATTCATTGGATACCCAAGATTGCTCACGTGACCACATTCTATACCAGCTGAAGCTTCCTAATACTTCTCAAGGGTAGCCCCATGTGGAGCGCATTGCAATAATCCAAACAGGAGATGACTAGGGCATGAATGAACACGTTATTAACAATTATGTGGTGTCCTAATTTTATTACTATTTGTCTTACTGTGCATTTTATATTTGCTTTTATTTTTATTGAGTGGTGACTATAAATAAAATTATTCCATTTTTGACTTACCTATTTGCCAACCATAGCTTGCCACATACATTAGTGATAATGTTGCTCAAACTGTGATGAAAATCTGAATTAGCCCTCTGTTTAGATTCCAAATAAGACTGTAGCAAATGAAGGACCTATATTAAAAAGAAAAAGAAAAAAAGTTACAGACTACTGTTGGAATATTTTTCAAGTATCTGCTCCCCTGGATTTGGGTTTTGCTGAAAAAAATAACTCTTTAGTGAGAAGAACTTAGCCACTTGGAGAATAACCTCCCAAACATCTAAAGAAACAAGCTGACACTGGTTAAATCTAAAGATATTTCATTCATCACTGTGTTATATAAAGTGCTGTATTCTATAGTACTCAATTTGTCACTAAACGAATTATTTTTCATTACCANACTTAGATGAAGTTCAGAGCACATTTTATGACCAATTCATGCAAAACTCCACATAATCCCAAGAAGTTCACATACTTTTTCTTGCAATTGTATGTTGCTTCTCTTAAGATGTCTACATAATACACAATCAAAACAATATACTATATTGATAAAATTCAGACCAAACTATTTTCTCTATTCATATTTCTGTAATTTACGATTTTCAATTTAATTCTTATTCAGAATATACTATCAACCTGATAAAAATCAGGTAAATGTCATGTAATAATGAATTAACTACTCTTTTAAAGGCTGATTGCAATATAGACTCTACTTTCAGAAGCAATAGTTCTCTCCATATTTGCTGCTGGACAACCCAAAATGGGAAAATACTAATTTGTAAAGCTACCTGACTCTAGAAGTCTTATTTATGGACTTCCAACTAACTGGAGAAACCTGGTACAGAGGAGGAAATCCGCTGATCCAAACCATCTCTATATATTTTTATTTAGATAGTATAAATTTATAATACAAAAATCTGAAATAGGGTATAGAATAGGGTACTTAGAGAGAAAGAAAAAAGAAAGAGAGAGAGAGAAGGCAGAACTGTATTTCTCACTGCCTTTGAACCTAGAAAACTGCTGGGACACACCACCACTTCAATATCTCATTTAGTAAAGCCAGAGCGAATACAATCTCCTTGGTAAATGCTGGCAAGCTTTTTCTCTAAAGGGCCAGATCTAGCTCTCTCCGACTCTGCAAGCATGACTGGCAGGTCTGCAAGCCAAGGAGGATGGTGCCAGTTCACCTGCAAAGATGCCACTAATAATCTGCCGCCACTGCCATTCCAAAGATTCTGCCCCCACCCCTCAGTCCCATTCCTTGCTCCAGGAGCTCAGCTGTGGTTTGGGCCTGATCACCCAACATTCTATTCTTAGCTTGAAGAGCTACAAAAAAGCATGTTGTGACTGTAGAATTCTGGCAGTTGGTCTACCCATCTTAAAGTTGTCGAAGTTGGGAAACACTGAACTAGATGTTTGTTGCATTTTACAGATCTCATTTCTCCATACCAATATGAGTTCAACTAGTTTTGTTTTGCAATTTGTTAAAGCCATATGGAATTTATTTATTTTTTTTAACTATTCCATTGGTTTTCTTCACAATAAAAGATAATTCTGCCAATTTGAGGCTATTTCAAAACTAATATAAAACAAACAAAAGCTTTCTTGCTATCATTATTTTACTGATGTCAACAATAGAAATATAAAGTACATGAGAACCTTACTAAGTGATAGGTGACTTTAGGAAAAACATTATTTAGGGTGACCAATGTTTTCCACTGAGGAAAACCCCAAATATACAGATCCAAAGCAATTAGCAACAGTGAAGTTGATTCAACAGCATAGTCAAATTTTAATGTGATTATTCACTTTTCCCAATAAAAATTAAGGTTTAATAAACAGTGGAATGGACTAGATGAGGTTGACTCTTCCTCAGTGAAAGATCACAGTCTACCTTTTTTTCCCATTAGCTCATAAGAATTTTAAGCAATAAACACAAAGAACATGTTATTTACTCCTGATTAAGAGCCTTGTATTTGTTCTTACTGACTGAGAATCTTAAACATGTATAGCACATTGTGTTAAAGAGAACATGGAGCCTGCAAACAGATCCATCTTTTAAGATTAAATTTCAAGGAATCTCACTTGGCACTCTCCACTGTTATAACTTTCCCCTTCCCCCTACATAAGGAGGTTTATCTTGGAGGTGAATAAAAATAGGACTATGCAAATATTCAAGGCAAATATATGAACCATTGAATCATAGACACTCAAACTGAACTAACTCCATTAGTATTCAAGTCAATCTTAAATGGGATCACTCATTTCTGACTCCCCATAATGAGCTAAAACAAAATGCAACAGATTACAAAACCACAAAATTGCCATTGGAATATTTTGTATACATACATGTACACACACATATACATACATATAGTTGCACGTGACTCAGAAAAATATTATCTATTCTACCTGGCACAATCTTAATTTACTTTCTATTTTTAAACAAAATAAAACAGAAGTCAAGGGCGATGCTATTTGCACATTTCTCAAGGTGAGATATGACTTGCCTCAGCAAACAAATAGCTAATCAAGTTACAACATCCAAATCCACAGTCCATATTTATATTTCTCTCAATATTGACCAAGTTGAAAAGATGAAAACCCCATGTTTGAAGCTTAACATCATCTAGTTTCAAGTTCCTTCATTAAATATTGGCTCTCCCACCCCTAAAAACTATTTAGATAAAAGATCTTAACATGCTTTAAAAAAAAAAGTCATGGTTTTAACTTGACAAATTACTAAGCATTTATTAACATTAATTATTTCCTTTAAAAAATTTATAACCTCCGAATGCTGAAAATTAAGAGTTTTTGCAATGTTACTTTTGCATTACTTTTAATCAAATATTGCATATTAGAACTAATGCCAAGTTGGCCTATCAAAATATTTTTCCATTATTTCTTAATGCAATTTATGAATGAGCTAGTGTGTGGCATAAGCTACAGATTATGATTTAGTGATACACGTCATCTGCCACTTGACAGGAAAAAGTATATTTTAGTCCCTTTGCCCTATGCTACCATTACGCAAAAAAAAAAGCAGGTATTCCCTCTGACAGCTATATAGACTACCCTAAACATTTGGGACCCTTAGGATTCTCATATACAGGATGAGAAACACGATATCAAGGAAATGGTATGATCACTCTATGTTGCACTTCAGTTGTGTGTCTAGTTCTAGACAACACAATAAAAGAACACTGATGTACTGTAGTTTGTAGAAAACATCATACAAAGATCACTTAAAGGGAGCTGCTAAGTTTAGCTTAAAGAAAAGAAAAGCTAAGCAGAGACATGATAGCAGTCTTCCAATATATGATGGAATATATTACAGGGCAAAGGGGATGGAAAAAAATCCTCCACAGCATTTGTAGGAAAGACAAAGCTCATGAGAGGAAGTCAACAGGGAAAGAGACAATCTTGAAATAAGGAGAAATTTCCTGACTACAAGAAATATTAAGCAGGATATTGAACTACGTAGAAGCCTTTCTCGATCCCTTCCAAGTCTAGGATTCGATGATTCATAGTATTCAGTGGGTAAAAGTATTTTTAAAATATTGTTTATTCCCGATTGTTTCTGCCATTCTACATTTTTAACTGCCATTCTTTATTTGACATTCTTTCTCTCTTAAGCAATTGCTTGCTCTTTTGGGTCTTCCTTGTTATTTTGGTATGTTTTTATTCTCTTTGTACACTGCCACAAACTACTCTGGGATTGAGATTAATCAGAAGTTAATTGAATAAATGAACAAATAAAGGACTGAATGAAATTATTGCTCCATGGAATTCAAGGGGGCCATTTAAATACCCTACTCTATACAGGAATTCAAATTAAAGTAACCACAATTGATGGCAATGGAGCCCCACTTGAACACCATCCAACAAACAGGAGCCAACATCATTCTGGGTTGCTCTTATTGTTGGGAATTTTTTTTCTAATATGCAGTTAATAAATACCTTTGACACTTCATTCTATTGATTAAAATTAGAAATAACCAATAAATTAATTTAAATGTTTGCTTTTAAAACCAATTAAAGTTGAGCCCTATTTAAGAACTACAGCCCATCTTGCGATGGAACTAAGACCAATATCTTTTGCTGAAAGCATAATGCCTGTAGCAAAAGCTACAACAAACAATGAATCAAACAAAATAAATGCATAGTAAATCAGAATTAACCAGCATTTAAAAGAGAAGACAGAAATCCACATGTAGTAAAAACAGACCAAAACTGCTAACCAAGACAAATAAGGGCATATAGCTGTGATAGTGAACCTATGACATGTGTGCCACAGGT